CAAGATTATTTTTCAATATTAATAATACATGTGTAAACACTTTTTAGTTCAAATTGATTTAGGTTTACATACCCATGTGTCAGTCATAGATTATAATATTTTGTATTTATCTAATAAGCGTTTGTGTTTTCTTAATCTTCTCACAAAATAATTTTAAACTTCGATAATCTTTTCGACGAATTTTATTTCAACTTTTTCATTATAAAATAACATCAATTATCCTCTTATTCGATATGTGAGATAGATTACGACGATTTAATTGTAATATTTTCATTCGCTTCCTGCAAATTGCAAGTTAAAGCTTTGTGCATTTTTCGGTTCTTGCAAAATTTAGGAATCAATTATGTGAAAAAATCTTATTAAAATTTACAATTTTAGTTTGCAACTAAAAATATGAGTAATTCGTCAAATTTTTGGAAAAATAGTTATATATGTAAATATATAAAAAAAGAACCTATTTCAATTAGGAATAGAAAAAACATAATTATTTGAAAATATTTGACAAATTTAAATTGAAAAAATAATATACTAAAAAAAGTCAAAACAACTTAATAAAAATTTTTTTCTTTTCGCAGATTATAAAAATTTATAAAACTGAAAAATTCAACTAGGAAAGTGAGTAATTAATTCAAATTTTTATTAAAAATAGAGTAATAAAGTAATAAAAACTAAATTATTTCATACATGAATAGAAAAAAAAACTAATTACGTGATAAAATTTAAGAATTATTTGAAATCATATAAGATAAACAACCAAGATAAAAAATAACTATTAAATTAATTTATATCAATATTTTCGGTTTTATTTTGTTTATTTCCATGGACGATTTATTCATTTTTTTATCTTTTTGAATTTGATTTTTTCATGACTTATGAAATATTTTATCACATATTATAAAATATTTTATCACAAATCCGCATATATGCGGATCTTTCACCTAGTATATATATATATTTTTGAATAATAATACCATTCTTTATGATACTTTTCTTTAGAAGGGAAACTATAAAAAAAAGGAAAATTAGAAAAAGATAGATATTATGATGGATTTTTGTCATTTTATCTTTGACCAATCCTATACATAAAAGATGAGTGTCTCTCACAAAGAGCTGACACATAAGTATATTTTATTTTGACACATCATTTTTTTTTAAAAAAACCAAAATTATTATTAATCCATCATTAGTCAAACTTAAGAATAACCAAACGTCCAAACCAATATTTTTTTGACAAAGTCAAACACGTAGCAAGTGGAGTTAAGAGAACTCATTTCATCAAGGTGCATCACTCTTCTCACATTTTCCGATGAGATTCATATATTGACCTATAGATATTGACGAATGACATGTCCTCCTCTTTTGCTTATCAGTTTACACGATGAAATTGTTTCCCTTCAATCTCTCAACAAATCGGTGATTGCTTTCTTTTTTTTGCGTCTTTTTAAAAAAAAACTTTTTAGTAACATTTACCTCCATCAATCTAAAGAAATGACGATTGCCTCTGCAAGGTAGGGTTTTCTTTCTATTTATATTGGCATGTTCTTTTTAATTTGTTTTTTTAAAGACATCTAGGCACTGAGTACCAACGAAGACATAGCAACTCGAGACTCTCTGAATGTATAACACTGCTTGAATGTATAACACTGCTTGATAAAATGGATATGTTAGGAACCCGGTAAATACGTTTGCATGTCTTCGTGGGTTAGGAGTTTGCTCTTCCTACCTTGATTGTATTTGTGGGGTGTATAACCAAATTACATACGGATTAGATTTTTTTTTTTTTTTGTCACGAACACACTTCGATATCAGTTATACAAATACATTGTCTGTATCAGAAAACCAATATGGAACAGAAATTCCAATATAGGAGAAAACTGTATCCGCGTGCGTACCGACCTTGCAAGTAAATCCGCCCTCTTGTTTTCCTTCCGTTGTTGGTAGATGAGTTCGAATTCCGGGAATAATTCCCGAAAGTCCGCCAAATCATGCAATTCTGGTTGATAACCAGGCCAGCAGTGCTGTGTTGTCACCATTTTCACTAACTCTGTTGAGTCAGTGAAGAACGTAGAGCAAAACCGTCGTTTCCAGATTAGACATCGCATGGCCCAGAGGAGGCTATGAAGCTCCGTGTGGAGAGGTGAAAGATTTCGGTGGTTTCTTTGGAGTCCCAATAGATCTGTCGTGTCGTCCTGAAGTTGTAAAACCCATCCCACTCCGCTTGTACATCCATCGGGTGTCCACGCCCTGTCGATCGAGCACGTGAAAATATCTTGGGATCTAGGTGGCCCAGACAGAAAAGGCGTTGGGGTTGCTTGGGAAGGAAGATTGGCCCCAACCCAATCCTTAGAT